GGGACCACTGAAACCCTGTGAGCCAAGTGCTCTCATCTGTCAAATGTGAGGAATGCTAACCTAGTTTGTAGGATGCCTGAGAATGATTTGTGATGTCCAGCCCTCAGGCAGAGTGCCTTAAGGACACACACATCTCTGTGTCCCCAGCTCAGAAGCGACCATCGCAGCACTAATGTTGTTGGGCATCTCCAAATCCTTTGCATGAACTAGCTCAGTTTTCATCATGGTTACTGACAAGGAAACTGGCATCATAGGGCTTAAGATATTCACTTCCTGGGGTCTCGTTTTTTGTCCTCCTGCTATACTCCCAGTGAGTGCATGGCCTAAGAAAACCATACAAAGCAATACACTCACAAATTCTACAAATAAATCAAGATGGAATCCTAAAAAATGTTCAAATAACCTGCAAGAAGGTAAGAAAAGAGAATGAAGAAACAAAACAAATCATAAGATGGCAGACTTGAGGAGTCCCTGTGGAGGCACCACCCCTAGCACACAGCTGGAACTGGACAGGTGCAGCATTTGCCTGGACAGTCTGTAGGGGATGGGGAAGGTGTATGGCTGCAGGCAGGGTCTGTACTGAAGGGCTCCCCAGACAGGCAGGAACATGCAAAGAAGCATGGAGGAAGCTTAGAGAAGCCTGGCCTGTCAGGAGGAGCATCTGGGAAGGTCTGAATGACTCTCTTGACATTTATGTATCGAGCACCTACTGTGGATTAGACGAGATGTACTGAGTAACTCCTGTGGGCTAGACAAAGGCAGGAGGGAAGCCTCAGGCAGGATCCATGCTCTCTGGGCCTGAAAGAGCACCACTGAGTGAAGTAGCAGCCCAGGATGGAGGGTTTAGCATCAAACCCCTGCCCACTCAAACTGGGTATTGGCACCAGTGTGACATCAGAGCCTTCCTCTTGGACCTGCAGTGGCCTAATCTCTAAAATACGGCAATGGTTCCTGCCTCCTGGCTGAGGAGCCATATTGGCACCTTGGGGGTCTTGGGTGTGGCCTGCTGCCATGCACCCTAATGCCCAGTTAGCTGATTTGGGCCCCTCACGCCAGAGTCTGTCCTTTATTCCTTGTTAACCTTGGAGCTGCCATCCGGTTTCTCTACCCTATAGCCTTTTCCTACTCTTGAGCTGAGGGCTGGTGGCCAGAAGTGCCAGGGTCTTGTTGGGAAGCAACAGGGAAGTGTTTTGGCTACAACTTGGCCAGTTGGCCCACTGTCTCTATGTCTGCCAAGTCCTCACGTACCAGGTGCTCACATGCACCGGGCTCTTCATCTACATTCCAGTGGCCACATAAGGGAAGGTATTTTGACAGACTCTGGATTCAGACTCAGGCTAAATCCTAGCTCCTCCCCTTATTAGCTGTGTGACCTGAGGCAGGTCATTTCTCTGTCTGAGCTTGTCTCCTCATCTATCAAATGGGCCCCCGCTGAGCAGGTGGTGTTACATATCACATGAGATTCTGAATGGAAAGGGCCTAGAACAAGGCCGGACATGCAGTAGACAGTTCTTGGCAGGTATTTCTATTTCTAATTCAGCTAAACTCCATCACCTCCAGCCCCAGAAGTACCTTTCTGATCTGAAGCTGTTCCTGCTGTGCAGGCCAAGGGGCCCCCTAGTCAGTGCCAGCTTCCTCAGAGCATTCCTGAAAATTCCTGTGGGCTCAGGAAAAGGAGAACAACAGATTTAATTAACTCCCAGTGACTGGCAGCATCGTGTTTTTATCTGGGCTGCGTCGCCATGGCAGCCTCATGGTAGGGTTGTGGAGGGGGCGGGTGGAGCTATTGTTCTTGCCATTGTCTGTTCTGGAACACAGGCCCAGGAGAAAGGGACTGGCACGGGGACCAAGTGGCACATGGCACAAGGCAGCCACAGAATCAGACAGGAGCCATCTGGGGAGAAGTGTGGGGTGGCCTCTGGCCTGGCTTCCCCCCAGCTTGCTGTCAGAACAGTCTGAGACAGCTTGATGTGGAGCCCCCTGCTTGGGGCTCAGGCCCACCGTGGCCCCAGAGCTAAATGTGTGTGTGCGTTGGACGTGCTGAGGAAGTGGGCCGGGGTGGGGGTTCCATGGGGCTCTTGGAAGAGGCCCACAGAGTAGCTCAAGCAGCAGCACCCTCCCACCCCTGGTTAGGGTTTTGTGGCCAGGCTTGGGTTCAAATTAAGGCACTGCCATCTGCCATTTACACAGCTAATTGTTCCCCCCCCTCATCTGTAAAATAGGAATAACTATTATAGTTATCCCAAAGGGTTGTATGTGAAAGCCCTGGGTAGTTAGGCGTTCAAGAAGGGCACACTTCTGTTCTGCGAGGGTGGTGAACAGTCGCCTGCCACCCGTCACTCGGCAGTCAGGGCTCCCTCCTACATACCTCTTAGGATGCAAGGTTCCCCTCTAAACCCTGGCTATGGAGGGGAGGAGGCAGAACTAGACGTGCCCATCTGGAGTGATGAGAGACCAGGTGATACAGTAGCAAATGAGCTACTTTTCCCACCCTCTGCAGAAACGGAAAGGAATTGAGAGGAAGCGATACCGTGCACAGGAGCTAGAAAGGTAGGGCCAAGCGGGGCTGCGAATTGGTAGGAGGCTGGGGAAACGGAGACGGAGCTGGGATCTGACATGCGGAGGCGCCTAGAGGAAAGGAAAAGAGGGAACGGCCCACGCCCGGTGGTGCAGACAAAGGCAGGCCAGTGGCACGCAGTAACAGCAGGAACGACCCCGCCTGAGCCCCCTCTACGAGAACGGCGACAGCCAGGAGGCCGCAGCGCCGGCCTGGATGTTCCATGCTTTGGGTGGCCAGGGGTAGGAGCGGGTACAAGGCCTAGAGCGCCAGGGGCTGCCAGACGCATGCACTGGGCTGAAGCTGGGCGTCGGTGGGCGGCTTGTGAGGCTGTAGGTGGGCCACCCTTTCCTGGCCGCGCAGCAACCGCCCCGAGACGCCTCTTCAGCGCCCCCGGGGGGTCTATCCACTGGCCTCTGAAACCCTTTCCGAACTGGGGTACCTTCTGGAGTGGCGAACCTCCCGTGCGCACTGAGGCTGTCTGACTTTCGCACGCCCTCTGCTGGCCCGCCTGGAGTCTCCTCGGCTCAGCAACGGCGGCGGCCGGGTCTCAGATCCGGGAAAACCCTACCGGGGAAACCTCGAGGTGTGACGTCATCCTCCTCGGTGGCGTCATCGGCCCCCCCGGGAGTGTGGGGGTTCCCGCAGAGGAGGCTTTCCCGGAACTGCGCAGGGCACCGGCGCGGGCAGGGAAGTCGTCCGGGACTGCAGCGCGCCTTCACCGCGCCCTGTGTCTGTCCTACAGGTCCCGCGCGGCCCCGGGTGAGGCCGGCCCGCGCGCCCACCGGCGCCATGGGAAGGAGCGGGCGCCGCTGCTGCTGTCCCCCGCCGGCGCGCGCACAACTTGAGCCCCGTCGCAGGCAGCCCCCGGCCGCGGGTCCCCGAGTGACGCTGGCGGCGCCTGGGAGCGTGGCGCGGGTCCGGGGCCACGTAGAGGAGCCCAGTGTCCAGTGAAGCAGCCGAGGACCCGCCGCCCCGCCGCCGCCATGGTTATGTCCCAGGGCACCTACACGTTCCTCACGTGCTTCGCCGGTTTCTGGCTCATCTGGGGCCTCATCGTCCTACTCTGCTGCTTCTGCAGCTTCCTGCGCCGCCGCCTCAAACGGCGCCAGGAGGAGCGACTACGTGAGCAGAACCTGCGCGCCCTCGAGCTGGAACCCCTGGAGCTCGAGGGCAGCCTGGCCGGGAGCCCCCCAGGCTTGGCGCCGCCGCCACCACCGCAGCGCGGCCGTCTCGAGGCGCCGGCGCACGGGCATCAGCACGTGCACGTTCACCCGCTGCTGCACCACGGGTCGGCGCAGCCGCACGCACATTCGCACGCACACCACCACGCGCTTCCGCACCCGCCGCCGGCGCACCTCTCCGTGCCGCCGCGGCCTTGGAGCTACCCGCGCCAAGGTGAGTCCCGACTTCCGCCCGGGGCAACGCGGGCCACTGAGGGTGGGCGGGGTCACTGCTGACCAGCGAGGCTTCCAGTGGACAGCCTCCCCGAGAACCTTGGAGGGAGCGGGCTGGGCCTGGGGTTGACGGCTGGCCAAGGCCTCCGCGGGAGGCCGGGGACGGGTGGCCTCACCCTTCGGATCGCTTCCCACTCTGCAGCGGAATCGGACATGTCCAAGCCACCGTGCTATGAAGAGGCGGTGCTGATGGCCGAGCCGCCGCCGCCCTACAGTGAGGTGCTCACGGACACGCGCGGCCTCTACCGCAAGATCGTTACACCCTTTCTGAGCCGCCGCGACAGCGCGGAGAAACAGGAGCAACCGCCGCCCAGCTACAAGCCGCTCTTCCTGGACCGGGGCTACACGTCGGCGCTGCACCTGCCCAGCGCTCCACGGCCCGCGCCACCCTGCCCGGCGCTCTGTCTGCAAGCGGACCGTGGCCGCCGGGTCTTCCCCAGCTGGACCGACTCGGAGCTCAGCAGCCGCGAGCCGCTGGAGCATGGAGCTTGGCGTCTGCCGGTCTCCATCCCCTTGTTCGGGAGGACTACAGCCGTATAGAGGGGCGCCCGGCGTTCCGGGCCCCACCCGCGGACTCGTGGCCTGACTGCGGGGCTTTTTAAATGCTTCCCTTGGACTGCGGGGGGGTGGGGAGGGAGGGATTTCTTACCCCGTTTGTTACATTTTGAGGATAATAAAGGTGTGTGATCTGGTTTGGTACAAGCGGAGGGGACACCCACTGCTTGCGCCCAAGGTTCTGGTAGCCAGGCGTGCCTGGGCCTTGGTGGGACAGAACCTGAGTGTGCCTTTTGACTACAAACTGGCCTGAGGGTGGGGAACCTAACTTCATAGGCTGGTTCCCCTAGGAGCCCCAGACCCTACCTTCCCTGCCCCTCAGATCACAGTGAAGGCAGCCCCGGTGACCTTGGAGGTGGGAAGAGTTGGGAATCGGGGTCAGGGCAGGCGGCACACCCCAGATCCGCCCCTGAAGGCCCGGAGCAGCAGGCCCGAAGGGATCTGGATTTCTTTATTAACAGACATGAGCACGACCCGTTACAGAAGTTTGTGCTTTCCAAAAAACAGTTACTGAACGTGAAAAAGGAACCCAAGCAAAGAGGGAGGAGTTGGGGAGGGGCCACCCAAGCCCCGGGCCCCACCAACAGCCCTGACCTGATCCGCGCCTAGGGCCTCCAGCTTGGGACCTGCCCAGCAGGAGGGGGGCAGGAAAGGCCCTGGAAGCTGAGGGGCCCCAGCTGGGCCTGCTTCCTTTGGGCCAGGCGGGGAGGGGTCAAGAGAAGGGCGGGGAGGGGGTCCCAGGGAGCCAGAGCCCACGAGCCATTTATTGCCATGTTTTAAAATTCGTGCAAAATATCTGAAGCCCTGGACAGAGAATACAAAGTGATATTTTTCCAAGAAACATAAAACTAGGAAAAGAGGTGGGGCATTTTCCCACCAGAGCTCCCCCGACGCCAGGCCCCAAGTAGGGTGAGGCCTCCACCCCGGCCAGCTTGAGTGAGCAGGGAGGACTAAGAGCTACAATCTGGACCGGGCGGGGACGGGGTAGAATTTGCAACAGCGTCTCAACTACCAACGGGAGGAAAACCAGTCAACTGTACAAGTCTCCTATCAATTTTAAAAAAAAGAGAAAAGCTGTAAAAGTCGGGCCCTGTGGGTAGGGAAGCGGCCAAGTCCTGGGCCAGGGCCGGAATCCGGAGTGGGTGCCAGGCGGAGCTGCTGCGAGTGCAGGCGCGGCGGGCCGTCTGGCCAGAGGCCGGCACAGGTGGGCGGCCTTGGCAAGGGCAGCCTGAGGGCGGGCGCCACCGCTAATCACCGCCCTCGAAGCCCTCCTCCTCTTCTGGTACTGGGTCTGCATCCCAGCAGGTGATGTCGATTTCTGTGATGTTGGGAAGGGAGTGGAGTTAAGGAAATGGCCCAGCAGATCCACGGCTGTGTCCCCCAACCCCTGGGAGCTGTGGCTGTGTGTGTATGCAAACACACTCGAACCCAGCACGGCCAACTGATTGCGTGCGTGCACGCGCATGTTCACGCTTGAACCCAGCAGCCCTACCGGAATCCCCCCATTGCCCACCCCAGTACTACCTGGAGGTTTGTTGTAGAACACAGGAGGCGGGGCCTTTGCGCACGGCTCTTCCGATTGGGCGAACTCCTCCTCCTGTGATTGGCTGAAGTACCCTTCACTGGCCTGCAGGAGGAAAGCTCCAGGTCACTAGGCCCCACCCAGGATGACTAGGGCGGACCTACCAGGCCTGAGCTCGTTTCCCCAGCAACCAGTGATTCCATCAGTGGTTTCCAGGGAAACATATACCTGCCTTGGGCAAAGAAAGCAGAGCTGGCCCAAGGAGGATGAACAGAATGACCCTCCAATAACGGGTCACAGAGAAAGGGGGTACCCCCCTGCTAGAACCCTGACCGCCACCCCTCCCACCAGGCTGTCCCTGCCCCACCTGGGTCCCCTCCTTCTGGGTGGTCTCGCCATTGGTCAGCAGGTGGGGCTCTGGCTCTGGCTCCTGATCCAGCTCCTCTAGAGCCGAGGGCAGAGTTGGGACCTGGGGGGCAGCTAGGGGCTCCCCTTCTAGTTCCTCCTCTGGGTCACAGAAGGTAGCAGGCGGCTCAGGCAGCTCATCAAAATTGAGAAGGTTGGCACAGCCTTTGCCTGCCAGTGGCAGTGGCTCCTCAGCCACCTCGTCTAGCAGGGGTACCTCTGCCAGAGTGACCTCGGCACCCGAGGGAGGTGTGGGGACCCGAGGCTCAGCCTGGGCTGTGGAGGCCTCTTCCCCGTTGCCAGGCCATAGGTCAATGAGGCTGGCAGCGGCGGGGGTGACGGGGGCAACAGCGGTGTGAGCAGTGGCAGTGTCGGTCTCTACGGCCTCAGCAGCCGGGGTGTCAGCTGCAGCGGCGCTGGCCACGGCAGGCTCCAGCGGGGCAGCCAGGATGGCTTGCTCTGGAGATGCCGTGAACATCAAGTCCTCCGTGGGGCTGCCTTGCGCCCGGGGAGGCTCCGGTGCCTGTGGGGGCTCCTCCCCAGGGCCGGCCCAGGCCTGAGGGGCTGCGGCTCTGGCCTCTTTGCTGGTCTCTTCACTATCCAGGCCAGGCCCGGGCTCCTGGGTCTCTGTCATAGCACACATGGAGGACAGACAGGTGGTCAGCTCCCCCAGGAAAGGACGCAGGCCTGGGGACAGCCACCCTACTCTGCTCTGCCCACCCGCTGGGGAGTCAGCAGCTTCCAGGGGAGGAGGCTTCCATAAAGGGCTCCATACAGAGCACCTTCCAGCACACCCCCTGGGCCCTGCTGCCCCTCTACCTCCTAGGGTCTTTCAGCTGCTCGGCAGCCCTGGGAGGCCAGATCCCCATTCCAGAGAGACACGCCGAGGCTGAGAGACGGCAGGTCTGACCACAACACCAGGGCTCCCCCCGCCGGCCATAGCCACCCCCAGAGCAGTACAACGTGGGTGATGACTGACTCAGATCCCCGAGAAGGTGCTACCATGGCCACGTGGGGGTCCCAGCCCAGGGACTGGTGGGAGCCCTGGGGCAGCTAGGGTGTAGCCCCTCACTCACCTTGCGGGGGTGGCGGGGGCAGTGGTGGAGGCTGCGAGGACGTGACCTCATCCAGAGCCCGCTCAATCTGTTCGGCGACAGGGGTAGAAGCCGTGCTGGAGTCAGATGGGCTCCGGGTGGGGATGGGGGTAGGTGCCATCCTCCGGTGGCTGTCCAGGTGGCTGCCTGTGGAACAAACCCCCAGGCTGGTCAGGGAGGGCCTGGGAGCCAGGTGGGGCCAGGACTGTCCACCTCGGGGTCTGGCCAGCACCTCCTCTGTGGAGTCTGGGTGGAGGCTGGGAGCCCCCCCAGGCCCCTCAGGGGCCAGACCACAGCTCCAGATCCTATAAGCCAGGCCCCTTGGGGTCAGAGCCCCTTCAGGGCCAGGGGAAAGAGGCAGGTAGTACCTGCTCTGGGGACAAACACCAGAGATCAGCAGTCAGGCTGGGGGAGTAAGGGTGGGGGCACTGCTGGGAAGCGGGGCCCTCCTTACCCCTCCCACTGAAGCCTGGGGCTGCTACCTACATGGGAGGGAGGAAGAGAGGTTTGGGGTGCGGTGACAGGTGATATAGGGAAAGGGAGTCCGTGGAGGGGAGGAGGAGGAAGAGGAGGAGGAGGAAGGCCCACTGTCCGATGCCTTTATGAAAGGGCAGTACGGACGACCTGCCGAGAGAGACAGACAGAGAGAGACAGAGGACAAGAGAGGGTCAGTCTCCCCCACCCCTTGCCCGAGGCCTCACCCGCCCCCGGGGCTGGCCCTAGCCGTCCAAACTGCCTTCAGCTAGGGTGCACAGCCAGCCACGCTAGGCCACAGCCCCAAGCCATCAGATGACTCCCACCAGCACCAGGCACGCACAGCAATGAGCCTGCCACACCAAGCCGGTCCCTAAGCATCATGGGACAGCGGGCCCCAGCCCTGGAACCCCAGCACAGGGCCAAGCACACAGCAGGGGCAAACACGCAGAGCAGCAGACAGAGCGGAAGGGTGCTTTGTGGAGGGAGGTGGGAGCCGCACCACGAGAACCCCAGCAGCGAGCAGTGGGTGCAGGGTCCCAGGCTGCTCAAACTCAGGCCCAGGGTCAGAGCCCACCCTACATGCATCCGCAGCCCTTCAGGCAAGACCTAGTTCAACCCCAGTGGGGCCGCTCCCTGCAGCCAGGGGGGATGCCTCAGCCCATGCCAGAGCTGCCCGGATGACCTCTGGCACTACCCACTGCCCAGCCAAGGCCAACACCGACCCCGGCCTGAGCCCCTCTCAGTCCCGCCACTCGGAGCCAGTGGGTGAAAGCACGATGAGTGGCCTTGCCTTCTCCAAGGGGTCCTTGGGCAAGGCTTCCTTTCCAAGAAAGAGCCGCAGAGAGGCTCAGTCCCCAAACCTGAGGAGTGGGGGTCAGGTGGGGGTGGGACCTGGGACTACCTGGCCGGTGGTTGAAGGGCGAGGGTGCATCGCAGCTGCCTGCAGAGGCCGATGCAACTCGTTCCTGCTGTTTGAAGAATTCCCGCGGGTTGTCAGGCCGCTGGGCAATAATGGCTGCTGCCTCCTGGGGGCACAGAGAAGGGGTCAGGGAGGGCCCAGCGGAGGCGAGCCCTGCCCACCTCACGTGCCCTCTTCAAAGCTCTCACCTCTACCTCCGACTCGGACTTCTTCATCTGGGTCTCTTCCTCCTCATCCCGCTGGTCACCCTGGAAACCCAAGGGACAGTGTCCTGGGCACCTCACTCCCCCTGAGCTCTTGGCCTTCTAACAGGCCCCATGTTTTCTCCACAACCTGGCAGGAAGGGGCTTGGAGGTGGCACCTCTGCTCCCTTCACCACCCAGTCACATAGCTCCCCCTCCACCTGCACTGTCACTCCACAGCTCTGCGTCTTCCAGAACGAAGTGCAAGGCCTCCTCAGACCAAGCTCTCTCTCTGTAGCCCCAGAAGTGACCTGCTCGCTGCAATCCCCACCATTCCCTATTGCACTGCACCAGCTAACTGCACTGCAGTTTTGAGGCTGCAACCCCAGGAGTAAAGGTAGATGGAGCCCCTTGTTTGTCCCACGTTCCCTTCCCCCTTGTCTGATCTGGCCTGTCACCGCTCTAACACCCACCTCCTGCCCTGACTCACCCACACACCCTGTAAGATGTAGCCGCAAAGTCTCACTCAGCACGATGTGGTCACAGTTCCTGGAACAGGCACACCATCTCCCCTCTCCACGCCCCTGCACAGGAGCTCAATCTCTCCTGCCCCAAATGCCCAACTCCCACCCCAGGTCCAACTCTTCCCGCTTCCAGCCTCAGCTTGGGCACTGCCTCCTGGGGAAGAGGTCCCTCGCCCATTCAGGTCATTTCTGGGTCTCCACGAGGCGGTCCAGGCACACACCACAGATTACACTGTAGCCTAACTTCCTTTTTCCGGGATCCTTGCCCCATCCTCTGTGGGTAACACAGACCGAGAAGTCGGATCTGCGTATGAGCGGCCAGCACAAGGTTCAGCTGGCACACAACTGCTCAACTGAACTCACTACAGCACAGCTTCTGAATCAGTGCCGCACCTGCTGCTAGTGCGGCAAACGGGGCGGGAGGGGCTGATGCCGAGGGGAGAATAAGCTGCAGGTATGGTGGGGAAGTTACAGGGCTTCTTTGTTTTGCACACATAACCTAAAACTTCAACTTTTCCCTCAAAATACATTAAGAGAATGGCTCTTCCAAGCAACCCCCTCGAGACGGTTGTCACTCCAACCACAGCTCTGCGTCTTCCAGAATGAAATCTCAAGTCCTCCTCTGACCGAGCTCTCTTTCCAATCAAATTTGCCTTGCTCCTCAGCCCACTGGGCTCTAGTCAGGCTCCTTGCCTTCCCATAAATTATATCCCACCAGCTTTTGCTGGTATTCCTGCACTACCTAGGCCGACCTCACTAGATTCCTCTGCGTCGTTCAAAAAAAAGGACTAGAGGGGCGCCTGGGTGGCTCAGTCTTTAAGCGTCTGCCTTCGGCTCAGGTCATGATCCCAGGATCCCCTGGGATCGAGCCCCACATCAGGCTCCCTGATCGGCGGGAAGCCTGCTTCTCCCTCTCCCACTCCCCCTGCTTGTGTTCCCTCTCTCGGTGTGTCTGTCTCTGTCAAATAAATAAAATCTTTAAAAAAAAAAAAAGGACTAGAGGCAAGCTCACCACAAAAGCCTGAACTACCAACAAAGTACAAAACACTGAAACAAATTAGGGCTACGGGTAGGAAAGTGAGATCAATACGCTCATCATAGGGTCAAAGACACTGCTGGGCCTGAGCATTTTGATACATGGGAGCTCCCTGACAGCCCAGGCAAAAAGGGAACTCAGACAAGGAATGCAATTCTTCACAGAGAAAGCAGAACGACAGCTTAAGCAACGGGAAAGCATTTTATGGTTCTAAATTCCAATGTTCTCACATGGGACCTTCTTCAGAGGGCCTGAAGTTGTACGGTCACCACGCTGACCTGCCAGAACATCCACTGTCACTGTCACACGAGCCATACCTTGAAGGGCCGGATGAGACTATAATACAATGGTGTGAGAGTGAGACTCTATATGTGAGACTATAATACAATTGCCTGAGGCACTGACAACTGCTGAAGATGAATGATCACTTCAGGGGACTCACCATATTATTCTTTCAACGTTGGGGTGCCTGTGTGTGAAATTTTCTGTCAAAATAAGCTTTTTCAGAGTGATCTTGCTCTGAATGGATAAACAACATGTGGCATATACATACAATGGAATATTATTAGCCTTAAAAAGGAAGACATTCTGACACATGAACCTTGAAGACACTGTGCTAAGTGAAATAACCTAGTCACAAAAAGAAAAAAAAATTACGATTCCATTCAAATGAGGTACTTAAGAATAGTCAAATTCACAGACAGCAGAAAGGCAACTGCCAGGGGTCTGGGGGAGGAGAGAATGGGGAGTGAGTGTTTAATGCAGACAGTGTTTCAGCATGGGAAGACGAAAAAAAAATTCTGGAGGTAAACAGTGGTAACAGCTGTACGATGTGAATTTGTTGGGAATCTTAATGCCACTAAAATGTAATCTTAAAAATCGTGAAGATGGCCCATTCTACGGACCTTTTGGCACAATTCAAAATAAACCTGCTTCATCAATTACTTTTGTAAAAAGTCTTGCCCACCTTGTCCTCCACTGTTTTCTAACCCCTGGCACATGGCACATGGCAAAGGTGTGCCGAATGAATGGTTGCAGCTGGAGCTCACTAACTGCACGGCGTCTCCACCCCCAGGGCTGGCGTGACTTCATGCCTGGGGCTGCAGGGCTGTCTGGTCTCCGCCCTCCCAGCCTCCTGTCTGGGTCCTCATGGCACAACCGACCATCACAGTCCCAGTCCAGAGAACCGCCCACCTCCCATCCAGAACTATACCATGCTCCGGCCTGAATGACCTTCGCTATTTCAGAAATACAAAATTCCATTCAAAGCATGGAGACTCAACTCCCAATACGATTTTGTGGGCCACCCCAAGGTTTGGAGGTCAGACAGCACCCTCGGGACGACACACACATGTGCACAGGTGCTCTGAACGCTGGCCCAAACTCATTCATGGGGCTCTGTGGCACAACTGTGGTGGGGGCCAGGCCTCCAGCCCCCAAAGCACAGGAAGCCTGTCTAATCCACCCCAGCCTCTCAGGCTTCACTGGGAGGGGCGGGGGCGGGGGTGGGGGGGCGCCTGGTCAGTGAGGGTCTGGGTCAAGGTAGATTTTCTCTTTCAGTCTACAGAATAAGCTTCTTCAAAGAGGTCTCCTTCCCCAGCCAGAGAACAGAGACCCACATGGTTGGGTGACAGGCCTGACACTCTATGACACTCCGTGCCCATGCAGAGGTACTCCGAACACCCAGAACTGTCCCCAAGCCCCTGATAACCTTCCCCCCCGCCACTCCACGCCCCCCCTCCCAAGGCGCAGGAACACAGGGACCATTCTCACATCCCCTCACCAGGGGACCGGGAGCCCTGGCTAAAAACTCACAAAGATAGACTGCTCCTTCAATCGCCGCTTGGCCTCCTCGGCTTCTAAAGTCTGCTGTTTCCTCCTGGAACGAGAAGGAGCAAGCACACCTTGGGGCGGGTCCGCTCGCGGCTGAGCAGGCGGCCTAGGGCGGGGCAGGGCCAACCTGTGCTCCTCGATCTGCTGCTCCCGCTCGCGGTAGCGCCGCTCCCGCTCCTCCTGCTCCTGGCGCTCCTGCTCCATCCGCTCTTGCTCAAACCTCAGTCTCTCATCCAAGGCCTTCTTCCGCTCCTCCTCCTTCCTCAGCTCTTCCTCCTTCTGCAACCCCCCCCACGCCAAGGCAGTGCAGGCCCTGAGCTGGGGCCTGCCCCTGCCCCTCCAGCCCATCCCCAACCCAGGACCGGGGAGGTTCTGGGAATTATGCCTTATGGGCTTAAGGCCAAAAGGGCTCCCTCTTTCAGCTGGGGTAGCACACAAGACGGGGACGCGCTGTTTAAGGGAGGGACTTGGGGACAGAGCCCAGAGCTATGCCTTGGGGCGGGGTCAGGGAGGGGCAGCTCAGCCTGAAAGCTGGGGGCGGGGCCCACACCTTGGCCTGCTCCCAGAACTGCTCGCGGTTAATCCGCTTCATTTCCACAGCTGCATCAGTTTTCTGATAGGTGGTGCCCTGCAGAGTGAAACAGCTTGGCATGAGCGGGCGGGAGGAGCGGGCCGAGTGCTCTGGGAGCTCCCATTCACAGAGTGTGAGGACTGACTGGCAGGGAGGGGGCGGACGAAGCCCGGGCAGGCCAGCCAGCCCCGGACACACACTGACCACCGGCTCGGCGCTGTCATCCTCCCGCAGCCGCAGTCGGTGCAGCACGGGGCTGGAGAGCCGCGCCAGCCCGTTGGAGAGCCGCTGTCCGATGGCACCCGCATCTATGTCTTCCACGCTGCTGGCATTCACGATCACATCGACACCCTGCAGCAAGAAGGCGTGTTCAGGCGGCATGGCTCCATCCCGTGACCACCACCAGCCTGGAGACCCTGCCCCTGGGAGTCTGGCCCCACCCCCACGAGCCCTGGCCCCACTCGCACCTGGAAGAACTCAGCCACCTTAGCCACGTGGCTGGCACAAGCGCATTTTCGGGCATCAGGCACATCTTCACCAACCTGCAAAGTACCCAGCAAAGAGGGGGTCGGGAAAGGACAAGAGCGGGAGCAGCCTGAGGCCCTGGGCTCTCTTCCCAAAGGGCTAGTGGGGCTCTCGCTGGTGGTGTCAGCAGGAGAAGTGGGGAGGAGGGGACCTGTTCTGGGGCCTTTCCTCCCTGCCCCAGCCCACAGCTGCATACCCAGTTGATGAGCACATATTTTGGCAGAGCAGCCTGGGAGTCCTTGACGCTGCAGAAGCCGTACATCACCTTCTGGTTCTCAAAGTGGCCGGAGAGCTCCTGCAAACCCCCATCTGGGGGAATCAGGAGGGTATCAAGCAAGACTCCCCATCTCCTGAGCCCTTACCCTGCAAAGGGCCCGGAACCCGAAAGAAAGACTCCTCTCATGGGCTCTGACAGGCACACCCAGAGGTATGGAGGTCCCACAGCTCTGTGCTGGTGTGAATAGGGACAACAGGCAGGAGCAAGCTTTGTCTCTGAATCCCCCAGGGCCCAATTTAGGACTGAGGAAGTGTTTGTTCTTCACACGTCCCATGTCTCACTCATGGCACATCATCACCTCTCACACAGCGCTATGCCCAGTGAGGTAAAATAAAACCCCTGGGCTCTGGAGAAAGTGGATGTGATCTGGGCCATCCCTGCCAGGCCCCTTCCCTCCTGGCTGTGTGACTTTGGGCAAGTCACTCTCCGTCTCTGGAAGCTCAGTCTTCTCATAATCAAAGAGCAAGCAAGGCTCCCTCCCTCCCCGCCCTGAGGATCTTCGGGATGGCTGGAGGAAGGACACAGGCAGACAAGTGTGGGTTGGCTGGCTGCAGGCAGGGAGATGGCCCTGAGCCAGGAGGGTGGGGAAGAAAACAACCGGAGGAGGGGGCGGAGAGAAAGGCAAAGGAATGGCTGGAATTCTTACCTCCTGATGCTGCAAGCTTGAGGTCATCTGAGCCATCCTCGTATGTGTACAGAGCCCTGGGGAGAGGGAGGGGTGGCTCAGAGTACTGACAGGGCCCAGGCCGCCAATTTTGGGTGGGGATGGCCCTGGGGAGGAGGAGGGACCCAGAGCAGGCAGGACAGGAGTAGGGGTTCTGGTCCAGCACTGCCATGTCATCATGACAGCAGGGCTAGGCACCAGTTCTGGCTGGAGCCCAGTTGGGAGGCAGCCTGGGACTTGGTAGAGGGAGGCTCGAGTCAGGAGGGGAGTAGGCAAGGGGGCAAAAATCGCTGCCTGGTCGCTGGCTTTGAGGGAGCCCATGTGTCCCGTTCTCAGAGCTCAGGCCCTGGCAGCCTACAACCCAGTGAGCGGGTGTTAGATGGAGACTCCAAGGCGACGGTTCCTTGGTTACCGTTCCCTGGCTACCACGATCCTCAGCCCCCATTGGCCGGCGCTGGGAACCTACCTGGCGTGTTCTTCAAGTACCCACCGCCCCTCCCCCCATGGCAAGGGAGGGGGAGGAGAACCTGGTGCTCTCTTTGCTGGGCGTCCCTCGGTAACCATGGCAACCTGGCAATTGGCACATGCTGGGGCCCACCCCAGCCACATTCTCCTGAACACAAAAGACCCTGGGGACATGCCCTTGGCCTCAATCTCCACCTCTCAGAAATGGGGATGAGGTCACTGAGGTCACTCTTGCCCAGACTCAGACCCCTGGTGGGCATGTTCTCCTGGCCTCCGGCTCCTAGGCCTCTGCCAGAGCTGAGAAGGCCCTGGCCTCCTGGAAATGCTGGCCTTTCCTTCTGCCTTAGCTTTACCAGAAAGCTGACCCGAGCAGCCTTCCTCCTTCCCCCTCCTCCCTGGCGTCTTCTGCCTAGCCGCACCGGCACGGCATCCATGGCACGGAAGGGAAGGCAGAGACGTCTCCTCCTGAGAACCCAGTGGGGCAACGGAGAAGGGCCTTGTCCCGGAGCCTCAGGAGGTCTCAAGCCCCTTCCCCATGCTTTCCTTTCCCTACTTGCAGGGGAGGTTGGGGGGGGGCCTAGAAGAGGGGGAGGCAGAGTGATGGAGAAAAGAAAGGGAGGGAGAAACAGGGAGAGAGGAGGAAGAAAGAGAAAAGAAAGGAAGGAAGTGAAGGGATGAAGAGAAAAATGAAAGGGGGGAGAGAGGGAGGGAAGGGGGAGGAAGGGAGAGCGGGAAGAGCAGGAGGGAAGGAGGGAGGAAGGGAGGAGGAGGGAGGAGAGAGGGAGGAGGAAAGGAAAAGGAAGCCCTGGCCCAGTCTCATGAGGTCAGCACAAGTCACTGCCAGGGCCAAATGGCCCCCCAGCCCCCACCCCCACCTTCTCCGGGAGGCCTCCCTCCGGAAAGAGACACAGGTGGACTGTGGGGCTGGGAAGCTCCCCGTCCAACTGTTGCCTGGGCCCCAACCCTGGCAGCTGCTTCTCAACACAGCTGTCCCACCACCTGTCTGGCTACCCTAACCCACCACTGGGAACAAAGGGCCCTCAGAGAAGCAGGGGTCTGCCCCTCTCCACTCCACAGACCAGAAACAGAGGCAAAACTCAAAGACCCTGGGTGCCAGACACTGCTCTAGATAGCACCCCTCCGTGGGACTTGTCAGCCTCTCTGAGGGCCCAGGGACACTGGCCCTGCCAAGGACCCCTTCCATCCTCAACCCTTACCTACCCGCCTCTGGCCATCTTTCCTGCTAACAGCCACAGCCCTGGCAGAAACCAGGCCTAAGTTCAAAGCCTTCAGCAGGCCTTCAAACCCTGAGCTCTGCCCCCGCCTGCCTTTCCAACTAGACCTCCAGATCCGTACCAAACACTTGGGATGCTGGATGGCTCCCTGATCCCAAACACAATTCTAGATGTTTCCCACCCGGGGGTCCTCTGCATATGTGGTTCCTTCCACAGGAGGGCCAGACCTACTTCTCTACCTCCTGGCTCACTCCTGGCTGAAATCCCTCAGGGACCCAAAGCCAGCTCCCAAGGAAGCCCTGCCCTAAGCTGCACCTCCCCAGAGCACTTACCATACCCCAGCAGGGATGGCAAGAAGCCTCCGAGCCCATCCCACATCTCATTCGATCTGTGCTTCTCAAACACATCAGAGGCAGCCCAGGCCTGAATGGGTGGGAGCTGGTGAAGCCACAAGGTGTCAGGATGGGGGACCCAGGAATCTATATGTCTCTCCAGCTTCAACCCCTGGAGACAGACAATGCCTCTCACTGCAAGCTGTGTGAGGTGGAGACATCTGATTCAGTCAAATCAACACCTACCACTCACTGGGTCCCGGGGCCAGCACAGGGCAGGACCGGTAGGTATCTGTGATACTGACATGAACTCTGAGAAGCGACCCAGGCCAGAGACACTGGACTCGGGTGAGGTGGGGCTGGAATGTAGCCAGTCCAGGGAGATCCTGCATTCAGCTGAGGTGGGGGACCAAAGGCACGTGGACCCCTCAGGACAATCCCACTCTCAGGATGTCGGAGCTGGAAGGGCCTTGGGGGTCCCGGATATGGCAGAGTCCCATCCCCTTTCTCTTTTCAAGAGGACCAGAGAGGAGCAGACACTTGTGTGTGGTCCACACAGTGAGCAGTGTCACAGCCGGGGCAATGGTCCATTTTAGAGCCTCTGCCACCTAGGAGTGGGCTCCCCCTAGGAGGCAAGGTAAGGGAGGGCAGTGCCAAGCCCCTTGACCAAGACAGCAACTATACCCAAGATGCCCTCCTCTGGCCTCTGAGTGCAGAGTCTGGCCCTGAGTCTTGAGACTCCACTGTACCCCGGGCTCTGTACTGGGCGCTGGGGGCACTCATGCCCCACTCTGCAGGATGTGACCCTCACACCCTTTTCACAACATGCTATCTAGGCCCTCGGGAGCGAGCAAATGTGTGTGTGTGCGAGGGTACGTGTGTACGTATGTGTGTGTCCCCCACACACAACCCAGATGGGGGTGACGCATGCCAATGATGAATAACTTGCTTTGGCCACATGGAGGCTGCTGGGAGGTGGGAGCCCAGGCCTCTGCTAAGCAGAATGTGGCCCAGCAATGGTTGTGTGGCCCTGCACTGGGCTGCCAGAGTCCTGCTGTTGGGAGGTTAGAGGGAAATGGGGTGATGGTAGACAGCAACCACCAGACCAGAGGGCGAGAGGGGGGTTTTAAGGTGGGCTGTGCCTCTCTGCAGGCAAGGCCCCCTATTCCAAGCCTAGCTCCTCCACTGGGCCAAGCCGGCCACTTGTCCTGAACTCCTCCCATGATCTCAACCCCCTTGGGGCAGGGCTGGGACAACGGGTGGGCCGCCTGCCGGCTTAGCCTGTGCTGGCCTCTCCTGTGACTGACCTGGAGGGCATGAGAACTTGTCTCCCGCGTCCATCCCTCCAGGCCTGGCTGCCCGCCAGTGCTGCAGTACCATGGCATGGACGCCTGGCCATCTTGCCCGGACTCCAGCCCCCAGGTCAGTGTCCCTGCCCAACTGCCCTCCTAGGATGAGGGTGAAGCCAGCCCAAGTGAGGTCCCTCAGACCTATCCTCACTCTGTGCCTCAGTTTCCTGCCTTCCAAGAGAAGATCAGGCCTAGAGAACAGAATGGGCACCTGTCCCAGGACAGAGTATTTTGGAGGAAGAGGATTCCTGAATGGGGCAGTGTGGGACCCCTTTGCTTTCCTGCCCCTCCAGCGGACTCCGGCCGGAGAGCAGGTGGTCCATGCCCTCCCACAGCTCAGGGGAAGACAACAGCAGGGGAAGGGGGAGACGGTAGTTCAGCTTTTCCCCCACCAGGGAGCTGAGAGCCTCTGGCCACAGGGCCATGAAGCTTAGGGGCTCATTGGATCTACTCACTCTCTCATTCCTCTTTCGGGCCTCCCTCCACACTTGTGCGCCTGAGAGCTTGCCCTCAGGGACCCCAGCTGGTCACCTCACCAGGCAGTTCAGTCCCCATGGCATCTCCCAGCCCTGCGGGAGATCTAGTCCCCGCAACCCCCTTCGGGGTCGGGGAGAGGAGGACTCATCTCTGCCTCCTCTGCGACCCCTGAGAGGAACAGGAGTCGCTTGGCGGTTGCTATGTGGCAGTGAACGTCTTTCCATCACACTCCAACTCCGAGAGGCCCCCGGTGGGCGGGGCGCCCCGGCCCCCAGCCCGCTCCGCTCCTCCCCCGCCCTAGCTTTCCTTTGTGCTGTGGCCGGGCCGGGCTGGGCCAGGCAGGCTGCGCTGGCTCCGCTGGCTCGGTCCCCGCCTCGTCCCCGCCCGGTCCTCGCCCGCTCGAAGGTGGCGAAGGTGCCCTTGGCCGCCCCGTGCACACCTGTCCCCCGGGCCCAGGGCGGGAGGGCAGAGGGCGGGGGATGGGCTCCCGCAGGGCCATGCGGCCCCGGGCCACACATCTGGACCCTGCGTCTCCCCGGCCGGCGTCCGGCCACCGCTCCCACCGCGCAACTTGGACCGCCTGTGGGCGCTCGGGGCCCGGCAGTGCCCCGCCTGGCCCGGCCCGGCCCCTCCCCCGGCGCGCACAAAGGCAGCCCCTCCCTGGCCCTCCCGGGCCGCTGCACCATTTCGGAGTCTCCCCCTCCCTTCCCGGCTGCAGGGCGGCGGAGCCGGGTGGAAACAAAGGCGCGGTGGCGGCGGCGGCGCGGGGACAAAGGGGCCGGGGGGCGGGGGCGGGGGGCTCACCAGTCGGCCGCGCTCTCCTCCCGAATCACCTCCTCGTACGCCGCCAGCAGCTCCAGGCGGTGGCCGCTGAAGCTGACGCCGGCCATGCTGCTGGCCGGACCGAGGCCGAACGGACAGACGCACAGACGGACGGACGTCCAGAGGAGGAGGGAAGGAAAGAAGGAGTCGCCGCCGCCGCCGCCTCGAAGCCTCTGCAGTGTTGCGAGCGGAGCGAGCCAGCGGCCGGGGGAGGGGAGCCGGCCGGCGGGGGGCGGGGGGCGCAGGCTCCGCCCGGCTCGCTCCCTCCGCGCGCTCGGTCCTAGCGCCGCCCCGGCCCGGCCCAGGGGGGAGGGCCGCCCCCCCTTCCCGGCCTGCCCCGGGGCGCCCCCACGCCCCTCACCCACAGCCCCTGCGCGCCGCGCCCCGCCGCGGATCTGCCCTTCCGCTCCCCAGGCGCGTCTCACCCACGTCCCAAACCCTCGCCTACCGTGTTCCCAACGTAGGCGCTCACCCTCTTCCCCAGCCCCATACCCCGCGGACTCATCTCTGCCTCCTCCGCAGGCGGTGACCCCACCTCACCGCGATCCCCGTCTGCAGCCTACTACCCAGGCCCGGCTTCACCCCTCTCCTTTCCAGCTCCTGGTTCCAGTCCCAAATCCACTTCATTCCAACTGGGCCCAGCCCCACTCCGTGCTTAATTTCTCCCCGCCCCAGCCTCAGCCCCCATCCCTGGTCCATTTCCGTCCCAACCCCCAACCCCAACCCAACCGGACCAGCCACCCTGGCCCATTTGCAGCCCATATCCACCTCTGAAAGGTCCACTCCTAGTCCATCCCCATCACTATCCATTGCCATCTGTGTCTCCACCCCACATCCAACCCATTTCTTTCCCAGCCTACTCCCAACCCCATGATCAGTGCGCACCTCCACACATTCACAATCCGCCTTCGCTAGCAGCACCCTCCTCAGTCCAGCCTACCCTATTCCCCTGGGGTTCCCAGTTCCCAATCACACCCCTCCATCCCTGCCTCCTTGACCATGCCCAGCCCCAATCCAGCTCAGTACCCCAGCATTCCCAACTTCTCCGTCCCTGCCCCACACCGCTTCTGGGCACCCCCTCCCTTACTAGTTGCCCCCAGGGCTGTCTCAGATGGGGCCAGCCTAAGAATTCTTTTGCCTTCTCTCCCAAGGCTCAGGCCTCTCAGAGGAATCCCCAGTACAGTTCCAGAAGCATCATCTAACCCCAGACTCCCAGGGCAGGGTTCCTCCAAGGACACTACTGGGCCAGCCTTCTGCACCTTTATGTCCCAAAGCTCTGGGCACAGAAGTCCCCTACAAGGGAGTGAGCACCACTGCCAGGGCCTCCTGGAACATCTCCACCTTGCCAAGGTGGGACCCTGAAACCCTCCCCAGCTCTAAGAAGCCTTTTCCACCTCCTACAAAGCCTCCCACCCCCATCTTCTGGGGGGAGGTGACAGAACCAAGCAAGCTTTACTTGGTCCAGTCTGGGAGATGGAGGAGGAGGTGGCCCCCAGCTGGGCCTCTGAGTTCTGAGTTGGGTAATCAATTACACCAAGAGGAGAAGGAGATCAGTGTGCGGCAATCAGCAGTGAGTCCCAGTGCTTTAGAGTAGGAATAACCTCTTCAAACCCCCTGAATTTCACAGACACCTGCCTGGGGAACTCTGCACCTACTATGCTCATGGATCCCTGGCCCTAGCAGTTTCTCCACAGCCCCCACTTGGAGCAAGGCCCAGGCAGAATCAGTGGGATTCTGGGGAGCGAGGAGACCGGATTAGTGCCGAGGGGTGCCTGGGAGGGCTAGGTAGAGGGATCTCAGGCCTCATTCCCCTCCTGCTCCCCTTGACGTATCCCAGCTCAGAACTCCCCACCACCTCCTCCTCCCCAGCCTCCTGCTCACTCAACTTCACATCCAAAAAACAGAAGTCCAATAAGCATACTCTCCCTTCCTCAAATTCCTGCTTCCCCTCAGCCACCTACAAACTCTCTCCAGCCACCCCACTCTCACCTCTTTGCCATCTATAATTTTAAATAAACTTTTAATTTTAGAACAGTTTTAAATTTACAGAGAAATTGCAAAGATAGTACAGAGTCCTCATATGTCCCATGCCCTGTTTTCTTTATTTTCAGGGAGAGAAAGGAGGGTTCCCTGCTTACATGCCCTGGAGCCTACCCCTTCTGGTCTTCTTACCCTTCACGCTTCCGTATCACCGGCATCCTACGCTTTGTAGCTCTGCGGTCTGTCTCCTCCTGCTCCTGCTGTTCCTGGCACTGCTCCAGCCAGGGGCACTAAGGACCCTTAAGTTGCCAAATTTAGTGGCCCCATCATAGTCTTCATTTTCCTTTACCAGTGGGAGGAAGGTGACCGCTGATCTCCCTCTCCTCCGTGAATCTGCCTTTCTTCAGCCACCTGCTACCCCTGAAACAAACCCATGGGCCCAGCCTTGATGGGTGGGTCTCAGTGCCTCCTTGGAGGTCCACCCACCAGGCTCTCATGTCTCCCACTCCCAGCACTGATCACTCTTCACGTCACTAACATATTGGGTGTCTCCCATCCCTAGAATGCAAGTTCCCCTCAACACTGGGAGGCTGGTCCTGTGGCTGCTGGAGTAGAAGAGACAAGAAAGAGGGAGGATTCCAATCCAGAAGCTGGTCACTGGCTGTGTGACCTTGGCTAAAAGACTTCCCCTCTCTGAGTTTCCTCTTTGACGATTTATAAGGATAAAATGTGACTGGATGGAGGCTTAAAAGGTGCGAAACCCCTCCCCTCCTCCTCGAAGTCTGGCTTTCCCACCTCCCACGCCCATCTTCCCATCTTCCCCTCTTCCTGTTCTGTGCTTCCCCACAACTCTCAGGGAAGGTTTCAAGGCTGACATACATGTTGGCCTCAGCACTTGGTCAGCACCAGCTGGTAGAGCCTCTCTGCCCTCATCCTGCCTCTGCCAAGTTCCAACCAAGCACCCCTTCAAGGGTACCCATCATCACTACAGGGCTCAATGCATTTCGCAGGCATCGGCCCCTGGCACGGGGCCGGCCACTTGACCACACTAGCTCTTCTCCCGCTAAGTCCATTGCTGTCACTGCACAGACTTTGCCAACCGTATAACCTTAGACTCATTGCTGGACCTTTCTTGTCTCCACTCATCTTCAACTATAAAATGGGGATGATCATGATAGTGCCTACTTCATAGTGTCCGAGGATTTAAAAAAAGTAGAACGTGCTTAAAATGGCAACGGCACATAGTAGATGCTATTGGTGTGTGGGCCGCTATTCCTGTTTTACAGATGGGGAAACTGAGGCTCAGAGAGGGGCAGTGACTTGCCCTGAGGCGTGCAGCTGGTGAGCAACGAAGTCTGGATGGGAACCCAGGTCTGTCCCATGTCACTTCACACCACAGGCTCTCCCTGCTTCCCCTCCTAGCACCCTCAAGTTTCCAGGGGGTGTGGCCTAGCCTAGAGTTTGGCCAGAAGTAGTTCCTGAGGCTACAGCTGTAGAGATGAGGGTGGGACTCACGGGGCGGGTGGGGGGTGGTGGTGGTGGTGGTGGTGGTGGTGGTGGTCCGGGACTCGGAGGGGAGGAAGTGTGCCCAGTGCTGTGGATGTCCATGCTTAAGTGTCCCTGTCCCTGTCTTCTGGCTGCTTTTCCACTGCAGGCTCCAGAGGGGAGCATGTAGTCCAGGCCGGTGGGCAGATGCCGAGACTGCTTCAGGGAGGGACACGTCTCCTAAGTCAGTCCAATGGGTGTCAGCTCTAAGACTATTGCTGGAACCATTAAGAAAGGCTCCACTGGGGCTACTGAGCTGGCAAGATGTGGGCCTGGGGCTGGTTGAGGGGCATCTTTGCCAATAATGGGGAGACCCACCTGAGAATACAGCCAGCATGAAGAAATCAAAGCTGAGAGATGGAGAGTGAGGGAGAAAGCAAGCTCAGAGAGACTCCCACTGTCATTGACCTTTCCAGTTAAATGAGACAAATTGTCCCTGTTTTTGCTAAAACTAGTTTGAATGACAGCTGAAAGAGTCCTTCCTAAACTACCTAATCCCCAAGTAGTAGTCATTTTTGTCTGCGGCAAGGACATGGGTGAAAGCTGAGCTGGCCTTATGGTGCCCCGCCCTGCCCCGGCCCTGAGAGGGAGGACCCTCCTTGGCCACTCTGTGGTGACCTCACCGCACAATCTCCCTGGGCTGGCCCCGCCCCCCACCCAGTTCTTTCCAGACTCCCAGCAAGCTTCTTGCTCCACTGTGGCCCCTGGAGCCCTGGCCCCCACCTCTTCTAGGCCCCGCTAGGGAGGGGCCCTTCCTCCACTCACAGGGTTGTTGGAATCCCAGCCGCTGGTCCCTGCGTGTTGTGGGGCCCGGCCCTTCAGCCCATGGCCTCAACTCCCCTTCCCTAGCAGGGCTGCTTGGAGGGGCCCACAGGACTGTGAATGTTCCTAGGCCACGTGGGACCTGGCACTGAGGAGGCAGCCCCAGAATCATCAGTTCTCTGTACTCTGTCCTCCAGTGGAACAGTCCCTGGCCCTGCACTGCCTCTCTCCCCGCTGACTTCAAATGAGCTCAAACTGCTCAGGGCTGGCAAAAGCCCCTCCCCTGCCTGCCGCCTCTCCAGTTGCCCACTCATGCCCCCGCTGTGGGCTCTGCCCCCTCAGTTGGAGACTGTACTCTCCAAGGGCGCTAATGGCCTCCCCTGCCTGGCACAAGGACATTTCCCAGTCCCCATAGCCTCCACCCGCACAGCCTCACACCCCAGCTTTGGAACACCGTGATCCCTGAAGCTCTTTGGGGAGGTGCAGTGGGGAGCACTTCAGCCTTTGATCCTGGGAGCAGCAGACCCAGGCCATTCTGGCTGGGGGGCTCTGGACAGGTCACTTTCACTCTCTGAGGCTCAGTTCCCTCCTCTGAAACATGCCTTTAATTGCATCCCTCTTGGGCACCTGGGTGGCTCAGTTGGTTAAGCGACTGCCTTCGGCTCAGGTCATGATCCTGGAGTCCCGGGATCGAGTCCCGCATCGGGCTCCCCGCTCAGTGGGGGGTCTGCTTCTCCCTCTGACCCTCTTCCCTCTCATGCTCTCTGTCTCTCATTCTCTCTCTCTCAAATAAATAAAAAAAAAAATCTTTAAAAAAAAATCGCATCCCTCTTAAGTGATTTTCTGTGATTAAGTTATATATAAACTATTGCTCTGTGGTTCCTGGCAGAGGGAGGGAGCATTCAAAGCAGGTACCCCATGCT